GGATGTTTTCTTTCCATCCATTCAGTTGCCAAAGAAATGTCATAACTTCTCATCAGATTGAGAAAAAGGACCTATTATTTATCTGATGTCAATAATGGTGTACTTTAAACTATAAACGAAAAAGAAAAGAGAGATTTTTGATGCTAAAGTTATTGTTGGCTCATATACTATATTTGAACTGAATTTAATTATTTTATTAATGCTATCTTTATACTGCTGAAACCAGAGCTTTTTCATGCATTTCCTATATGTAAAAAAGGATAAACATGTTGTCACTAAAAATAAAAATGATTGCACCCTTATGGCTGCTTTGGAATTGCAGTCAGTATATGGATCAAGTCTGCAAATAGTTTTTCTTGGCTTTTTGCTGTAGTCAGATATTAGCTTTTGCAGTCTAAAGGAAATACGTGCATGCACACGCACACACACAAAACCACCAATCTGTACCAGGAAGAAAGCTATAGTGAAGAAGGAGGTCTGTACATCCAGCATCTAGGGCCCTCTGGCTCTCTTAGCATTTTCCTGGATGGGCCATGCAGATTGTTACAACCGCTGCTAAAGGAGGGGAAGACTCTTTTTCTTGTTGCTTGGTGTTGCTGCTGGCAAGACCCAGTCCTATGGGTAGGAATGGGGGCAAGAAAAGGGAGCAATTCCTCCAAAAGATTTTGGGGACTGGACACTTTTCTTCCCAGATGATCATCTCAATGACTGGGCCAATTTGTTGCTGGTTGAATTGCAGAGCAAGAGAAGTTAACAGAATAACAAAGTTGGAAGGGACCTTGAAGGTCTTCTATTCCAATACCCTGCTCAGGCAGGAAACCCTATTCAGATAGTCCTCGACTTACAATGGTTCATTTAGTGACCGTTCAAAGTTACAGCAGCAATGAAAAAAGTGACATGACCATTTTTCATAGTTATGATCTTTCCAGTATCCCCATGATCATGTGATCAAAATTTAGATGCTTGCTAACTGGTTCATATTTATGACTGTTGCTGTGTCCAAAGATCATGTGATCATCTTTTGCAATCTTCTGACAAGCAAACTCAATTGGGAAGCCAGATTCACTTAACAACCAGGTTACTTAACTTATCAACTGCACTGATTCACTTAACATCTATGGCAAGAAAGATCATAAAATGGGGCAAAATGTACTTAACAAATGTCTCACTTAACAACAGAAATTTTGGGCTCAATTGTGGTTGTAGGTTGAAGTCTACCTGTACCATTCCAGACAAATAGCTGTCCATTCTCTTCTTAAAAACCTCCAGTGTTGAATCACCCACAACTTCTGGGGGCAAGTTGTTCCATTGATTAATTGTTCTCACTGACAGGCAATTTCTCTTTCATTCTAGTTGCTTCTATCCTTGATTAGTTTTCATCCATTACTTCTTGTCCTGCCTTCAGATGCTTTAGAGCAGTGGTTCTCAACCTTTCTAATGCCGTGACCCCTTAATACAGTTCCTCATGTTATGGTGACCCCCAATCATAAAATTATTTTCATTGCTACTTCATAACTGTAATTTTGCTACTGTTATGAATATTAATGTAAATATCTGATATGCAGGGTGTATTTTCATTGTTACGAAGTGAACATAATTAAAGCATAGTGATTAATCACAAAAACAATATAGCAATACTTGCTGGAGAAGCTTACTCTTCCTTGCTCAAAAATGTTGGGAGGGAGGGAAGGGGAAGGAAGGAAGGAAGATTGAAGGGGAAAGGAAGGAGATTGAAGGGGAAAGAAAGGAGATGGAGAAGGAAGGAGATTGAAGGGGAAAGGAAGGAAGGAAGGAAGATTGGAGGGGAAAGGAAGGAGATTGAAGGGGAAAGGAAGGAAGGAAGGAAGGAAGGAAGGAAGGAAGGAAGGAAGAAGATTGAAGGGGAAAGGAAGGAGATGGAGAAGGAAGGAGATGAAGGAGGAAGGAAGGAAGGAAGGAAGGAAGGAAGGAAGGAAGGAAGGAAGGAAGGAAGGAGAGAGAGATTGAAGGGAAGGGATGGAGATGGAGAGGAGAGAGAAGGAAGGAAGGAAGGAAGGAAGGAAGGAAGGAAGGAAGGAAGGAAGGAAGGAAGGAGAGATTGAAGGGGAAGGGATGGAGATGGAAGGAAGGGAAGGAAGACTGAAGGGGAAAGGAAGGAGATGGAGAAGGAAGGAGATTGAAGGAAGGAAGGAAGGAAGGAAGGAAGGAGAGATTGAAGGGGAAGGGAAGGAGATGGAAGGAAGGAAGGAAGGAAGGAAGGAAGGAAGGAAGGAAGGAAGGAAGGAAGGAGAGAGAGATTGAAGGGGAAGGGATGGAGATGGAAGGAAGGAGGGAAGATTGAAGGGGAAAGGAAGGAGATGGAGAAGGAAGGAGATTGAGGGGGGAAAGGAAGGAAGGAAGGAAGGAAGGAAGGAAGGAGAGATTGAAGGGGAAGGGAAGGAGATGGAAGGAAGGAAGGAGAGAGAGATTGAAGGGGAAGGGATGGAGATGGAAGGAAGGAGGGAAGATTGAAGGGGAAAGGAAGGAGATGGAGAAGGAAGGAGATTGAGGGGGGAAAGGAAGGAAGGAAGGAAGCAAGGAGAGATTGAAGGGGAAGGGAAGGAGATGGATGGATGGATGGAAGGAAGGAAGGATTGATCGATCTTTGGAGAGTCATGTTTTTCCAGATGGTGATTAACTGCAACTCCCAGCATTCCCCACTCTTCCACAGTGTTTTTTAGGGCTGCTGGGGATGGTAGTCCAGTAAGGTCTCACACAGAGAGATGCCCTCCAATGGCAAGGGAGGCAGGCCAGGAGGTGCGGGGGAGGCTCCGGCATGGCACGGAGGGCGGCTGGGGGCAGAGCACGGCCGGGCAACCAGGAGGCATGGGGATTGGCTCAGCGCCGCAGCTCAGCTCAGCCAGCAGCAGCAGCAGCAGCGCATTGCCCGAGCAGGGCAGGAAGAGAGGGGGTGGTGGTGGCAAATCATGAAAGCAGCGTCCAGACATTCAGGATGCAAATGCCTTGGACCGTTTGGCTCCCCCACTCCTTTATTTACTGATCTGCCACAAGGTCGTGCAAACAAGCCCCAAGGAGTTCTGAACGAGTGGTCATTTAAAAAAAAAAAGCTTTCAGCAACGAGGCAGAAAGGGGAACTCTCTCATGGCTCTTTTTTTCCGCTTTCTCGGCAACTGGGAAGGCAGTCTCTTTCCTCTCTCTTTATCTCTTTCCTCTTTCTCTGTTTCCTCCCTCTTTCTCTTTCTCTCTCTCTTTCCTCTTTCTTTTCCTCTGTTTCTCTCTCTTTCCTCTCTTTCTCTCTCTTACAGTAGTATCGTTGGGGGTCCCCACCGCCCCTGGCCTCTGCGTGTTCTCAGCTGAACGGGCGAGGAAAGGGAGCAGGACAGGAGGCAGCGGCTCCTATGGCAGCGGCAGCGACCAGGCAGCATTGTCGGGGTCCCTGCCACCCCCAGCCCAGCTGCCGCCCCCGCTGGGACTCCATGCTGTCCAGCCTCACCCTCCGCCCATCTATGGAGCTGCGGTGGAGGCAGCGCCTGCCCGGGCTGCCTGGGGAGGCAGCAGGAGGAAGAAGAGGAGGAGGGTGAGGAAGCAGTCACCCTAGCTGAGACTCCGCGCTGCCCGGCCTCGCCCTTCACCTATCCAATGCAGCCGCGGTGGGGGCTGGTGCCACATGGCCCCTGCCAGCCCCTCATCCAGCCCAGCTGCTCCCCGCCAGGCACCCCTCTTGTCCCAGCGCTTGCCCAAGCCACTTTGGGGGAAGCAAGAGGAAGAAGGGGAGGAGGAAGGGGAGGGCAAGGAAGCCGCCGCCAACGCTGGGCCCCAGGAGATGGCTCTCCTCTCCTAACTTTGCTGCATCTCCTTCTTCCTTCCCAGCAGCCTGGATTCCGGCATGCCTTCCTGGCCAGCAGGTCCAATGGTCGGGTTGGGTGAGGATTGCAGGGGCTTGTCTCCCTTGGGCCACGGCTTGCAGGAGGGCTGGCCCACTCAGCGGAGCCTCCAGCAAGCCGCTCCCAGCAGGGATCCCAGGGCTTCCCCGGGTGGCTCCAAGCCACAAGGCCCTGGCCACGCTTCTCCCAGGGGGTGGGGCACCCGGGCGCAGGGCCAATCAGGAGCCCTGCAGGAGGTAAGTCCGCCTGAGAGAGAGAGAGAAGGGAAGCAAAAGTGCCCCCCCCCTCTCTCTCTCTCTCTCTCTCTCTCTCTCTCTCTCTCTGCAAATGGTGGAGGAGGCCGTGCGGAGACAGATGCAGAGCAGTGTCTCGGTTCCTAAGACCATCGGAAATATGTGTTTTCCGATGGTCTTAGGCGACCCCTGTGAAACTGTCGTTCAACCCCAAAAGGGGTCGCAACCCACAGGTTGAGAACTGCTGCTTTAGAGGATAGACTGTAAGCCTCTTTTCTGTGATAGCCCATTAGATATTGGAAGACTGCTATCATGTCACCTCTTCTTGGAAAAGACCCCAAGGATCTCAGAGAGACTTTGTCTTCTCCCAGTTGAAATCTGGGTACTCTGGTACTTTACCATCCTTTCCTTGCACCTTTAAAGTAAGTGGAGATAGCACTGGCGCTCCACCCAGAGCAGTTTATTGTGTACTAGTTCTTCTACATCAAGGACCTTCAAAGCACAAGAGCATAATTTTGCTGCTCTTTGATTGGGTTCTGTGGGGGGAGGGAGGATGGGGGGAATGGAGGTAGGGGGCATTTGGTTAGGTGGGAAACAAGGATGGTGAAGGCAACCATACATTGAGGAAGACCTTTATAAACCTGGCTCGGACAGTGGGAATTTTCTGATCTGATTAAAATCCAAACACCAAAAAGGTTATACTGTCAGTTCATATTTATTTGCAACAAAATGAACCTGCAATCCATCTTTGAAATCCTAAAACTGGGAAACCTATTAATCACAATTTATAATCATAATTCTCTGCTTAGCAGGAAAATCAGAAGTTTGAGAGCAAAGCAATGCAAGAAATGGTTGAATCTTGAAGTGTCCAAAAATGTTTTTTTTTTCTGTTCCTTCTTTGCAGTTGTGTGTAATATTGGAACCAATGCAAGAACTTATGTCAAGGCATAAAACGTATAATTTAAGTCCTCGGGACTGCTTGAAAACATGTTTGTTTCAAAAATGGCAGCGGATGGTGGCACCTCCAGGTAGGAATTCTCTCTAGTCTCTGATTCTAAGTGGGTGAAAGAGTAAGAATTTAAGAACATGGAATACTGTACTATTGAAAGTCCTGTGACTATCCTGCAGATATTCACTCTAATTATTGTTTCAGTAGAATCATTGGATTCCTGAATGTTAGCATTTCTGTGAAAGGGGGATGGAGAAAGAGGGTATATGACTTCACGCATGTAATGATCGTCATTATACAAATGGTGTGCATTATATAATAGTGGCATAAAATATGTTCTGCATCTGGAGCTACTTCTCCAACCAACTTCTTAGTCGCATGCAGGACTTCTGGACTGTGTACAGATGTAATCCTACACCATCAAAAAGAGGTATGGAAATCCAAGTGCTCTTGAAATTAGCATGCTAGCCATTGTGGAGGTTGCCCAAAATGCACAACTCCTAAAATATGTAGGAGACATTCCCAAGATGTTTTGCAGTATGCAGAGTTAAGAACATCTGGGATAAAAATGGTTGAGGCTGAAACTTTTAGATTGTGCCTGAAGTTAAACTTAATCAACATTGGCCTTACCATAAGGAAGGGTGAGAAGTAGTTCAGGTGGGCCTTTTAGCCTTTCATCCATCATGCGGCACCAGATATAGTTGATCTTCATGTCTCCCCCTCCCCAAAAAAAGAGAATAAATTCCTACTCAGCCCAATGGCTGTGGCCTGATGTTTAGCATGTCCTGAAGAGAGGAGAAGAGGAAGGAGACAAGAAGGCAATTGTTCTGTGCTCTGCTCCTGCAAATAGATTCCTCTTTCATGAAGTTTCTAGGGTTGTCATGGTTCCAGAAGGGTGCCATGGCTGTCTTTAGATATATTTAAATATGCAAATCTTTTCCATGTTTACATGCAAATGTTTTGTAGTGTCCTGTTTTTAGATGTCTTTCATCCAAATGATGAAAGCAATGTCCCTCCCTCATGAGGCAAACTCCATCCCTTTCATGTATGCTGTCACAGCACTCTTTTCGTCACTTGACCAGCTCTTCAGTCAGCCATATAGCACAATTAGTTATTTTAATTCCATTTTCACTTTTTATCTTTCATTTCCTATTGTAGCTTGATTCCCTTTATGAATGGTTCAGCAAGATTTAGCTGCAGCAATGCTAAAGATTTGCCTGATGAATAATCCATTATAACCATTTTATACAATTAGTGCTCCAAATCTTTTGGTAGTATCACATTGTTATATTTTAATACCTAATAACTATAGGCCTTCACAGTTTAAGGACTGTTATTACATTATAGCTCAGGCCATGCTCTTGTTTACATGCAACCATTAGATAGGCTGCCAAATTATGATTTCAGTACAGATTTTATTTGTTACTTATTATTTTATTCTAGGACTTTTAACTAGATACTCTTCTGAGCATTTTTAATTATACTGATCTTTGACTGCAATAAATTTGAGTGAAACTAAATATAGCCTTAGAGGAAAATAAAAGAGAATGGGGGACAGAAAGAGAAGGAGAAAAATAAAGAAATTGCACAGATAGGAAATATAAAACGTCATCTAGAACTAAAAAAAACCCATGATCATACTATTTCCTAAAATTGTCAGTGGTCATTTTGCCTAATAGAATCTGGGAAATTTTTCCAATTGTGTAGGTGCTCTGTCGCTGGTGGTTTTCAAGAAAAGATTGGACAACCATTTGTCCAAGGTGGTATGAGGACTTCTGCCCTGGGAAGGGAATTGGACTGGAACACTTCCAAGTTCCTTTCCAACCCTACAATTCTATGTACACTTGTTATGAGGTATTTCTGGTAGGAAACAGATCATTTTTGATTCAGTGCATTTCTCCAACCCTCCCACTTCAGGATTTATCCAGAGCAGAAGAAAACTTTGCATAAATAATTCCTAACTGCAGCCCATGCGAACTAATATTTATATTGACTTAATATAAGTCAATATAAGTATTAGAGGACAAAGTGAATGGACGTAAATCTTAAGTTTCTCTTCTGACTCTGAGCCAAAGTAATCTAGTTTCTTGACAGTGTCCATTATGAATTCAGGCAACTTGTCTCCTCTTTTTGCTCACTTGATTACGGCAAGCAACTTTTTGTAAGGACTGTAAATTACTATTACTATGATACAGTATTTCCCAATCTTGGCAAGTTATGTGGATTTCAATTCTCCAGCAAGCATGGTTGATTAGGGAATTCTAAGTTGAAGTCCACATATCTTAAAGTTGCTAAAGTTTGGAAACACTACTATAACATAACACAATACAACCTATACTGAATTACAGAATAGCATACAGCAGAGTATTATTTTTGTATCATGGATGGCAAAACTATAAACAACTGTTCCTTTTTTTCCTACTTCTTAACGTATATGTTCTTTTTGACTCAAATTAACTTTCCCGATAGTTAGCTGTTTTTTCAGCTTTGCGCCTGCCCCCTTTTAATGAAATTGAGATGGCACAGACTCATGCATGGCAGCCAGGCTCCTTCATCTCTCTGTATATGCCTTTGTGCTACATCTCAACCTTCTCTCCCACAGCAGAGCCTGCAAGACAGCCCAGCACCAAACGGAGAAAAAGGAAAAATTCCACCAGCAGTACCTCCAACAGCAGTGTCGGGAATAACATCAACAGCACCAACAGCAAGAAGAAAGCCTCAGCAGTGAACTTGAGCCTTGCCAGTCAGGTACCTGTAAGTCTCCTTTTCATTTTAGGCCTCACCTAAGACCATCTGTAGGCCAGGATCCCTAGAAGAGCAAAAACTGCTGCAAATCATTAAGCAACTCCTTCCCACATGGAGTTCTCAAGTGACTCAGGCAATCTATTCAAGCACCAAGCAGGGTTTCAGAAGTTGCCTTATTGGTATTGGCCAGTGGGGAAGGGCTGGGCTCAAGGGGTTTTTTACCTGCCCTCCATAGAGCTTTACAATGCTCCCATGCCTTGCTGCACACCTGTGGAAAATGGATCCAATTTGTAAAAAAAAGGGTGGGCAAGGCAGGCAAGCACTCTTGGCTAGCGGTGCAATCATAAATGTCTGGTGGGAACCACACTGACCTCCTGATGCTACCATGCAAACAATGCATATGACATAATTGATATGATGACATCATTGCATTGTCCTTCCATGTCTCTGCTCCCCCGCAGGTGATCCCACTCAATCAGGATTCAGATTCTGCTCCTATACATTATTTTGGAAAGATGAATAGACAATGCTATAATGAATACCATTTTTCTTACTCCATAACTTAAATGTGCTTTTATAGATCATCCTTATTGTTCAGTAGTTTGCATGACCATATTCTTTAGGAAGCAAGAGAAACTGTCTACCCTACCAGTTTAAGAAAAACTGGATTTGCTATGAACATCTTATAGCCACCTGGTTTCATGAGATTCTACCAGCATCATCCAAACATTTGGCTCTAAGTGTGAAGAAAGTGTCTTCATTGTCTTGAATGAGCCAGCAGTGTGCAGCAGCAGCCAAAAAAGCTAATATAATCCTGGGTTGTATAAACAGAGGCATAGAATCAAGATCACGTGAAGTATTAGTACTGCTTTATAAAATCCTAGTAAGACCACACCTGGAATACTGCAACCAGTTTTGGTCACCATACAACAAAAAAGATGTTGAGACCTTGGAAAAAAATCAGAGAAGAGCAACTAAGATGATCAAAGGCCTGGAGATTAAAATATACAAAGAATGGCTGTAGGACTTGGGTTTGGCTAGTCTAAAGAAAAGAAGAAATAGGGGAGACATGATAGCAGTATTCCAGTATTTGAGGGGCTGCCCCCCAAAAAGAGGGGGTTACGTTATTCACCAAAGCACCAGAGGGTAGGACAAGAAACAATGGTTGGAAACTGAACAAAGAGAGAAGCAACCTGGAATTAAGGAGAAACTTCCTGACAGTGAGGACAATTAACCAGTGGAACAGCTTGCCTCCAGAAATCGTGGGCGCTCCATTACTGGAGATTTTTAAGAAGAGGCTAGACAGTCACTTGTCTGAGATGGTATACAGTATATTCTCCTGCTTGAGTGGGGGGCTGGACTAGAAAACCTTCAAGGTCCCTTCCAGCTCTATTCTATTCTATTCTATTCTATTCTATTCTATTCTATTCTATTCTATTCCTGTCCATCCAGAGCAGTGGTTCTCAACCTTTTTAATGCCGCGACCCCCAACTGGTCGTAGGTCGAGGACTACTCAACCGGTCGTAAGTCAAGGACTACTCAACTGGTGCAGCACCGTTTGCAGAATGGGACTTTTGGCGGGCTCAGCAGGGCAGAGACAGCCTGGACAATTCCTATTGGCTTTTGAAAGCCAATAGAATTAGACTCTATTCAAGAGAGACTATTCTATTGGCTTTCAAAAACCAATAGAATAAAAGGGAGTAGCACAGCTAAGAAAAAGGGGGGGGGAAATGGCGGACTGCGTTGTTTGGCGACCCCCGTGAAATGGTCGTTCGACCCCAAATGGGGTCCCGACCCACAGGTTGAGAACCACTGATCCAGAGGTTCTGAAATAAAACTTCAGAATGGTTCCTTTAGATCCTAAATTGCTAAAACCTACCAACGGACTCTACAATCATGGATATTGGCCTTGACAAGATCCCCCTACTGTTTTTCTACTCAAGGAAGTAGCAACAGTTCTGCCAATATGCTTCATTTGGACTTCTTACTGAACTGACATACCCAGGATTGCAGTGGTGAGTTATTCTACATAACTTGCAGACTGTATTTAATTAATGGGTGGGCCTGAAGATGCTGGTCTTCACCTTTTGCTTTGTTTAATGCTGAAATGTAGCTAAATGTGACCTGATTAGCCCAAAGCTATGTGTGTACCTGTACAAAACAGAACCCAAAGGTTGAATTCTTTGATTCTACTTATCATTCCATAAGCAGGAGCTAGGAGCACTCCTGATCTGCAGCCTCAACTCTGGAAGGGAATGGAGTGTTTTATTTGACAACAATGACTCTAAGGCCAATTTAAGGAGAAACAATGAGGGATTTTAAATGGAGTCACTTCCAGTCCTCCTCATAGGTTGGTGGCCATTATAGAGAACTAGCTAGTGAAGATAAGGAGTGGTTGAATTGGAAGGTGTCTTTAAGGTTCTATTCTGGAACAAGTAAATATAACCCGAAGTCTTTTATGCTTAAGTTTTCTTCAGCTTAATTGCCAGGATATTTTACTGTATTCTCCCCTCTCCCCCTGCCCTGCCTGTTTACTTCTTCCTTGCAGCATTAGAGAGAGCTTTGTATTATAAGAGATGAGATCCATCAAGCATTTCCTCATTGAAATATTTCTACACTATAACAAACATTGAGCCTGTTTTATAAAACTTGGTCAGGACATAATGGAGAATGATGGTTGGCTATAGATGTGGTCTGTCAGGGTTAGCAGACCAAGGAGTTGGCTCTGGTGAATTGTAGATGATATAATACAGTGTTATCAACCTTGGCAACTTTAAGGTGTGTGGACTTCGACTCCCAGAATTCCCCAGCCAGCATGGCTGGCTAGGGAATTCTGGGAGTTGAAGCCCACACACATTAAAGTTGTCAAGGTTGAGAAACCATGGTGTAGTAATAAGAGAGGGTGGGTAATGCATCAGAAGAGGAGAAATTCCCACCCAACATTTTTTTTCTTACAAGAGTATTAAATCACAATTTATAATGTTATAGATTAAATGGCACTATGCCATACATGACAAAATGCAAATGCAGTGCTTTTCAAGCTGTGGTAAGTCCCATTAGGTTTGCCACACTCAGATACTAACCCCAGACTTGACATAAGCCACAGGTTCCAACCACAGGCATCCCAAGAATCAGTCACCAAATGGTGGCATCAAAGTTGCTGAACTGGGTACAGTTGCAGGAGGCTTCCTATAAGCAAATCATTCTCAATTCTGCACCAAATCTCCAAAAAGCAACTTGGAATCACCCAGGTTTTAGGTCAGTTTCAGACAATGGTGGGGCAAGGCAGAGATAAGGGGAGAGTATCAAAATGCTATAAAACAAAATGAAAACTTTGATGGTTCTAATGGTTTTTGAAGGGTGAAATGATAAGGGTAGAATCAGTTTGCCACCTGCCACGTCCTGCTCCCTCTCCCATTCTTACAACCTCAGGTCAAAAGATTTGGCCCCAACTATTCTGATGAAGTGATCTTGGCACTAGGGATCTCTTAAAATCCCCTGGAAGGGCATGGAACTAAAATTCAGCAGATTACTGATTTATCATTTCTTGTTAAAATACATTTTGGTGTACTAGAAATAAACATTGGGATTTTATTTGGATTTCTCCAGAAACATCACCCTCCAAAATTTCCTGCACTATTGTGAGATTGGTAAAATATTAGGAGCAATTGGAATCTTACTGCAAAATCTCCCCAAATCTTACAATTGGGGTGCTAAGTTGTCATAAGGTTTGGTGATCTTACAAGAATTCTGTTTTTTATTATTTTTCATTTAAATTGTGGTGATAACACCTGGCTTTTCAAAACCACGTTCTTATGTCTGCTGGCCTAAGTAGAAATAATTCCCAGATAGAAATATTTTTGGAAAGCCAATAGAAGAAGACTTACTTGTAGGTTTCTGAGAAACAATAAGAGTGTCATGGTTCCGACTGATGAACCCAACCAAGCAAACATCTTCAAACATTCCAATCTCTTAATGTAAACTTTACTGAGTGCACCAGTTCAGCACATTATGAAAGCAAAGCCAGCTCTGGCCAGACCCCACCCACATCCTCATAGTCAAAGCATAGAATTCTTCCTTCTCCCTCTTGGTCAGGTCACATTGCCCCATCAAACTGGAAAATGTTGTTATGATAAAGCATCTTCAAGTCTACCCAGACACTCGGTAGAATGTCTTTGAATCTCAGGTCTGGCTTTTGATCTTTGCAGTTCACATTCCCTTCCCCCAGGTTTGTTGGCAAGTTGAGAAGCAATATTTTTACACCAGCAAACTGTAGTTTGAAACTTGACAAAGAGAATATGATTACTAATATGAAGAGGTGGGTTACAGGGCCTGTTTTCCATCCTCGTCATTCTTTCTCAGCCCAACTCATCTCACAGGGTTGTTGTTGTGAGGAAAATAGAAGGAGGAAGCTATGTTGGAGATGTTTGCCACCTTGAGTTATTTGTAAAAATAATGGATGGATGGGTGGGTGGATGGATGGTCAGACAGATAGATAGACCAGCTTTTTCCAACTGGAGGGTTGTGGTCTACAGCCTCCATTATCCACTACCAAAGTCAAATTGCTGGCTGAGGATGGTGGGATTTATAGTCTGAACCTAACACATTCCCAGTTGGAGGAGGCTGATTTTCATTTTTAAATATTTCCTTCTAAATCACTTCCCTTTAACTGGTTCACATGTTTTACATCAAACTTTGACCAGAATATTGATATTCTAGGGCTTTTAGAATCTATATAACACTTGGCTTTGAAAAGAGAGGCAAGTGTATTCCCAGGAAGGTAAAAAAAATCAAAATGGTGGTGGCCATCTGATCAACGGCCATCCCCCTTTTTACATACATCATGTGATTTATGAAAAAAATAAAATAAAAACAGGTAGGACTTTGATTGTACATTTAGTATGGCCATTTGACATTTTTGACCATGCTATCACCATCCAGAAATATGTCCTAAAGAAACTGCTTTTAACTATTTATAGAGGAAAAAGTATGGAAGAAAAGGCTAATAA